CGAGAATATGAATCCAATTCATTGGAGCTCCAATCTCGAAATTCACGTCCTAAATAATGAGATTCAGATCCCAAGTCCCCGTACCCCCGTAATGAAAAGAGAAATAAAGCGGGAAAAGGAGCCCGGAACGCAAACAAAATCCACCCCCACGAGTCGTGAATGACGATAGTTGCCCAAACAATGGGTAGCGAGTAGCCAGGGAAATATAGACCCATCAAAGCGCAGCAATCCGAAAAAACCCTCTCCTTTCTGGCTTGGAAGGCCATCAGCTTGTCTGACGCGTTCAAACGTGGGCCCAAGACCGACGAATGATCCGGCGGAAAGCACTTGTGTGGGGAGTGCGGCTCAGTCGTGGGCCGAAGGCCGACGAATGACGCCACACCCTGCAGCTGTACAAATTGAACCAGGTATGAGCGCGCATGTGCTCGCTGCGGCAGCCTGAAAAAAACAACTACTGCTACGTGTCGCCCAGCCTCCAGGTCTTGGTACGGAGAACTCAACGGGGCATACTCTAGAGTGCATGCGCCTGATGGAAGAACTCTATTAAACCCAGAACCATGTGCATAAAAACCTAAGCCCTAGGCGCTGAAAGGTGTGCATTGCAAATTATGGCCACCGCCGCCTCCATTGAGCTCGCTGGTCCGGACTCAGACTTGAAAACTGCCGCCGTTTCCTCGGCTCTTACAACCTAAAACCCTCATACCTCAACCCTTATTTTGAAGGGGGGGCCTTTTGAGTGAAATCTGGGGTGGCCAACTCTGCTGTATACACGCCTGCCAACCCTGCGCCCTAAACCCATCGAAACCCTAAATCGCAGACCCTAAACCCTTCGCAGAAGAACGGGGCACGTTGCGACAGCCAGAACCTTCATGTTTGCCCCACCCCCTAATTCCACCGTAAAGCTTGAACGACGAGCCCAAACCTGCTCTGAGCACCAGCCCAAGTTGCCAATGCACTCTCCGTCGGGGGATTGCAGTTTATGCTGCCGTGAAGGACCCACACCTTTCAGGTACCAGAAACTACCAAGAGGGGACCAAGTAACAAAAACGGGTTTGGGGCCAGAAAGCCTACGATGAGGTACGGTACTATGACAGGGTACTGCGTGATTGAGTTAGTACTACAAATACTTATCTTTGGAGTAGACCCTGGAAAAAAAAGTATATACTTTTGAGGTAATAAGTAGCAATAATAGGAACCCAGAACCAAAAAAAGTATTAAAGTAGAGTACTCCAAAACCCAGCAAAGGGGGTTTCCGTTTTACAATCCACACCTTGGCTGTGACGAACTCACCGCTCCTCTGGAACCTCCAGTGCCTGATATCCGAAGGCAGCTCGTACATTCTTCGCATGAGTGACGCGAAGCGGTTTTCCAGCTGATCCGTGCTCGTCTGACTCCATGGATTTCCTGCTGTTTCACGGGGCCGCTGATGCCACGTAACCGCAGATGTCTCGGAATTCTGGGTGCTGCCGGATCGCGGCTCCGACGTCATGGGGTCGCTGCTGCTGTGCAGGTCTCTGTAGTCACATTGGTGGTGGCGCAGATATCCACATTTCTGGCACCTCTTGTTCGAGAATGCGCACTTCTTGCACGGCTTGTGCCCGCAGGGCAAGCGGATTTCGCGCTTTTCTCGTCCGCAACCATGGCACCGTGCACCTTGACGAAGGTCCACTTGTGTCCTGGCAGGACGAAGGTCCATAGGTGTCCTGGCTCACGAAGGGTGTGTTTTATGAGGGAAGCTTTTCAAAAGTCCGAACCGAAAAAAACAAGACACCGATGAAGAAAAACCCACCAGCAAGAAACAAAAACACTTCCACAAATCGAGATCAAAGGATCTGCTGGCTTGTCGCCCGGTTTACGTTGGCGAAGCTTGCGGCATCTCCCAACCAGCCTGCCACCGATGTTGTAGCGAAGTCCGGCAGCGAATGTCGCGGCGTTGCCCGTACCCGCTTGCCTAGGAAGATGGGGCCCATGGGCTGCATGAAGGTAAATGGTGACGCCGTCTTTAGTCCATTCTAGCTTGATTCAGACCTTGTCTGTTCATAAACACACTATCATCATATTCATCATCATATACATCATCATCATCATCATCATCCTCATTATACTAGTTCATCTGCGCGACGCCCGTCGTCAAACTCGAAGCGAGGCTTTCCGTCCTGAGGTTCGGCTTGGTGCTCACTTGAATGTGCCTTTGTGGGTTCCGAGGCATACTAGGTTTAGGGTTTAGGGTTTAGGGTTTAGGGTTTAGGGTTTAGGGTTTAGTAGTATGCTTCCAAGCCCAGTCCTTCACACTTTCTGCAACGACACGTTCCAACAGATCGGGCTGGTGGAGGTACGCTCTGACCCTATCCACGGAGGCCCAGCCATCTTTGTCGACTGGCACGGCAGGTTGCGACGGGTCTGGATGCCGCAGAATTCTCGCAAGCCTCCTGCCAGATGATGAACAACACCATTTATGCAGTTTATGCACTTATGTTATACTGCAATCTTCCAACCTGGTCACTGGGTAAATATAAAGAGAAGGGCAACCTCATACTAATCCAACTTTGAAATCAAACTCCTGCCTGGACAAGCCATCCAGGTCTGGTTCGTGCCGATGTGGCCTATTTGTGCGCGATGCTGGAGCTGCTGGTATGGCTTCAACCGGTAGCCAGCCACTTTCTTGAGTGGCCTCCAGCGTTCCATATGCCCAACCATGCTCATCTTCCCGCGAACCTACGTAGGTGACCTGCGAGGTGCGCTTAGGATGATCACGGAGGCGTATTGCGCACAATACAGGAGCCTAGATGAGAACGGAAGCTGCCTTCGAATCACCCACCACCTCCAAAACAAATTCTAGGAACTAGGCCCTATCTTCCAAGCAACGATGCTTCCAGCCAATGCAAGCGAGCAGCTGTAACAAGGTCCCCTGCCTGCAAGCTTGTCAAGTGGGCACGGGCTGCAAACAAGCAAGCAAACTGAACCAAGGCCGTTGAAAAGCTGCTTGAAACTGAAGCCTGAACACGAAACCTAAACTCCCCCATTCCTGAACCATCCTAAACCACCCGAACTAAGCCACTACTCTGAACCACTGTCACTGCTGGCCACGACCCCGAAGTGATTTGTACAGACAATGAACAACACTAGTCACTTGAATCGGCGCTACTATTCAAGCCATGGGCTGCTGCGGTGATGCGCAGTCACTGAAATTTCTCAAGAATGATCTGCAACTTCCTTTCAGTGTCGGCATACTACTGATGCGATTCATTGAGAGCTGTATCCGGGATTTCAGCAGGGGCAGGACAATCACTGGAATTGCTAGTTTGGGTAATGCAGCCCGAAATCAATGAAGTACGCGGTAGTTTGGATAGAAACAGTTTCCAAGAATTTTCACTTCTCCTTCCCTTTGATGCATCTTCATTTCTCAAGATCCCCAAGAGCCCGTCACAAAGTGCTCAATGATAGGCGCATCATAGCAACGACGTCCAGGCGTGTATGGTCTTTGCCCTTGTTCCCGTGAAAACTAGTGACAGCCAATAATCTTTGTAAGGACTAATATTTACCATCCAAAATCCTTACCATAGCGAAAAGACAAACTTGAGAGAAAGGCTGGGGATCAGGAGTAGGGGACTGCTTGTTATGAGTTTTGGCTCCTGTAGTACTGAAAGCCAAGCCACTATCATCACCCCCCCCCCCCGCGCTTGCCTCTAACAGAAGGTATCCACCATGCTCGCCCCGGGATGCCCTTGCCTTTCTGCCGAGGCAAGTGTATATCCACACAGAAAGTTTTAGGGTTTAGGGTTTAGGGTTTAAGGTTTAGGGTTGCTGGTGGCTGTGGCACGCTCTGCAAATCTGGGATTTGGACGGTCGCGCGGACATCTGACGGGAGAAAGTCCTGCAAGCGAGCTCAACCACATGTATTGCCGATGACGATGGGCATGAAACATACGAGTGCTGCTCTGATCCAATTGCTGTTCATAGATAGTTCTACAGTGCCAGATGCGCTTCATGCAGGTCCGGGATTTCTTGGAGGATCCAGTGGTTTCAGGGCCTTCCTCATGATGGCTTCAACCACGGTCGCTTGCACAGAGTCTTGCAGCCACCAATGCAAGTAGCTGAGTCCTAAACCCTAAACCCTGCAAGGCCCCATGAAGCCCATGGCGTCGTTTCCAGAGCTCCAGCTTGGAGTATGGGGTGGGAAGCTGAAAGGTAAGGGCTTATGGTTTAGGATTTAGGGTTCAGAGTGTGGTAGCAGACGAAGAACAAGAGCGCCTCTTGATTAACCCCTATCCCGGAATCCCCAGCCGGAAGCTGGCCCTTCTGTCTGAGTTCCGAGCCTTTGTCCCGCACGCTGCCTGCTTGGGATGCGGTTTTGGGTGTTGGGACTTGGGCCCTGGGGTTTAGGGTTTAGGGTTTAAGGGTAGGATTTAGGGTTTAGGGTTAGGGTTTAGGGTTTAGGGTTTAGGGTTTAGGGTTTAGGGTTTAGGGTTTAGGGTTTAGGGTTTAGGGTTTAGGGTTTAGGGTTTAGGGTTTAGGGTTTAGGGTGTAGGGTTTAGGGTTCTGGGTGTCCTCAGACTACTCCTCATGCTGACGCTTGTGCTTCTTGTCTCGTCAAGCAGCCGAACTTTCGCTGCAAACTATCATACTTCTTTTCCTCCCGTTTTCAAGCAAAACCCTCAACCCTAAACCCTAAATCCTACACCTCATTCCTAAACCCTAAACCCTCAATCCTAAGGCCTGAAGGCTACGCCTTCCTGACAGCATGGACAGGCTCTACACCTGGCACATCTTCGTTGATGAGCTGTGAACCCTATAGGCCCTAAACCCTAAAACCTGTTCGGCCCTAAACCCTAAACCCTAAACTCTAGACCCTAAACCCTGGAACCTTAAACCTCCACCCTTAACCCTTAACCCTGAACCGTAAAACCTAAACCCTAAACTCCGAACTCTTTCTTGAAAGGCAAGCCCGGCAGCCTTCACAGCCGTCATGGTCGAAGAGTGCTTCCCATGGCCCGACGCAGAAGGCTGATTCTGGGGTTTAGGGTTTGCGGGTTAAAGTTTATGAGGGTTTAGGGGGGTTCAGGGTTTAGGGTTTAGGGTCTAGGGTTCAGGGCTTTCAAGATTCCACCAGCGGGCTTCCCACAAAGCAGGGCTTTTTTGGCTTTAGCATTCAGGGCAGAGGCTTTGTTGGTGTAATCCATGGTACTCATCATAGGGTTAGGAGGGCACCAGGTGGTGTGCCAAGGATGAGCCCAGCTTGGCCAATTGCACACAGTGTACTTTTCACTAGTGCGTTTCATGGCTCTGATATTCTGTGGCTATCTTGAGCATCGCGCTGGCGTGGTGGTGCAGCATTGACGAAAAGAGAGGACCCCCAAAATAGACCCCCAAATAGCAGGATCCCCTGATAAGGACCCCCAATAAGGTACTCCTACTTCGTAAACCCACCATGTGAGCCTATGATCAACGCTTCAAAGAACCACTAGCGCTGCGCAACTTGGCTGAAGGCTTGTGACGTTTCTGGGCAAACTCGAGAAGTCAAGACTCCCTCTAAACGTTCAAGCTGTTGGGAGTTGTTAGGGTTTAGGGTTTAGGGTTTGGTGTTTGGGGCTTAGGGCTTAGGGTTTGGGGTTTAGGGTTTGGGGGGTAGGGCTTATGTCCATCTCGTGAGGGCTGGGGCAGCCATGCCACCTCCCAAACCAAAGGCCTCCCCCTTTAGGGCCTAGGGCTTAGGGTTTAGTAGCTCAAAGGCTTTACTTTGGCTAACTGTGCAACCTCAGAAGCTGCGGCCCTTCGAGCTTTTTGGCGGTGCTCTGCGATGTTCTGTTCCAGTGCATGTGCACCGTTGGACGAAGCGATCTCTTCAAGACCTCGACAAGCGAAAACTGCATTTTTGCAGAGGCAAAGACTGTAAGTGGGGTGATCGGCATGCCGCTTAAGAGCCCTCCTCCGGAATGAGCTTTCCTTCGTTGAAGTCAACGATCATCTTGTTGATCTTGTCGATGTGCTCCTTGAGGTTGTCTGCTGACCTTCACTGAGCTTAGGGCTGAGGGTCTCCGGCTCCGATTGATACACTTTGACGTTTTGAAGCAGATGCCCGTGAGCATAACAAGGGCTGGAAGTTCATTAGAGCCGTGGTTCAAACTACTGTATCATGAGCAACGTGATGAGAATTTGCGAAATAACTTCTCGAAGGCATGCCTTTTTTGGGTCAGTAGCTCTCAGCCCTCAACCAAGGGAATCAGGGGCAAGCGACGTAGTAGCGACATGGATGTTCGTGATGATTTCAATGACGCTCCTCCAAAGCTCATCACCAATGCCGACGTGATCGCCCGGCATCACGGGCTCGGTCGTGTTGGGCTCCGTCTGGGCCAAAGAATTGAAGGTCTGCCTTGCAGGTACGGGGTTTAGGGTTTAGGGTTTAGGGTTTAGGGTTTAGGGTTAGGGTTTAGGGTTTACGGCTGAACAGATCAAAGTGCTTGCTGAAAACACCTGCTGAAGCAGAAGAACGGAACGCTGAGTGTGGAGGCTTTGTGGATGTCTGTGCTTACATGGCAGGTCGAGACTTCGTGAGTGGTTCGAAGATTGGCCAACCAAGCGCACCCTAAGCCCTAAGCCCTAAACCTTCAACCGTTGAAGCAAGGAGCGTCTTGAGCTTCAATGGAACAGGATTCTTGCTCATAAGCGTCCCGGACGCTGCCACATACTGGCCGTTCGAGTTCAACTTCTTGAACACAACACCCATCTCCTGATCCATGTAGCCTGAGCACGAGTATTTAGGATTTAGGGTTTAGGTACTTGCAGTCGTCGTAGTGGTGGTCGTGGCGGTAGATTAGAGTAAGTGTAGACAGACCAAGGGTACCAATGCCCAGGTTAAGTACAGTGCTGGAACGTCACTTATAGAACAAAAAAGTAAGGACTAGTCCTTGCAAGTGTCTCAACCATTTCTTTACATGGGCTTCTCTTGGCCGATTCTTCTGGGCTTGATCTTCTGACTTTCGCGCAGACGTCTCCGCAAGCGCGAGGTAGTCGGCCACCTTGAGCCCGGAGTCGTGCTCTACCTGCTTCACCAAAGCATGCACTTCCTCCTCCAAGTCCTTAGTGGCCCCAGAAACCATATCAAAAATAAGGGTGCCCTGAATGAGGGTACCCCCTGTTCTTGGTTGGTTGCTTCATAAGGGAACCCCAGAACTTCAAACAAAAAACACCCTAAACCCTAAACCCTAAACCCTAAACCCCAAACCCGAAACCCTAAACCCTAAACCCTAAACCCTAAACCCTAAACCCTAAAAGGGTAAAAGGGGGACCCACCAAAACTACCAAGGGCTCCACACTTCGATTGTAGAGTGCGAGGATGGCCTTCTGCTGAACGCTGATGTTTGCCATGAGGCTCCTATACTGAGTAGGGTTTAGGGTTTAGGGTTTAGGGTTTAGGGTTTGGGGTTTAGGGTGTAGGGTTTAGGGTTTAAGTTTGAGGGTTTAGGGTTTAGCTGAACATGGAGCCCTAGCAAAAAGTAAGATTTTAGAATAAAATCTCAGCTCTTTCTTAGGAATTGTAGCACCCAAAAATCTAAAAACAGACTCCCAAGTGTCCCCAAGGCTCTTGTAGTTGGCGACGGAGATGTCTGCGCCCGGGACGCGGCCGTAGTAGCCGCTGTGCCATTTCATCAGCTCCTCCTCGGAGGCGTCCAAGGACAGCAGACCGGGTGGCTCCACCAAGTCCTTCGCGCGGAGCTGAAGGGCATTCACCGCACAGCCGGGCGCGGCACACTGGTCATCAGCATCGAGTGCCTCGGGAATGTTCTCGGCACTTGCCACACGAGCCAGCCAGAGAGTCAGGAACCCGGCAAAAAGTGAGGGCATGGCAAAAGATTGGGGGGGAAGCCGCTGAGCACTTTGTATGCTCTGCAAACACTTTTATCAAGAGATTAGAGAGCTCGAGCACTTGTCGAACCAGCGCGGCTTCAGGGTTGGGCCGTTGGGGCCTTACGTTCGAGGCGTGGGTTGAAGGTTTCGAGATGTGGCTCCAGAAGGCTTCTGGTCCAACTAGGGTTTAGGGTTTAGGGTTTAGGGTTTAGGGTTTAGGTTTTAGGGTTGTAGGGCCTTAGGGTTGGAGATTTGAGGGTTGAGGTTAGGGCCCCTGAACTCTGAGTGCCGTAGTTATGGCACTCAGCTCAAACGAGCCTACGGGGTAGCGCCAAGGGCGTCAGCTCGGAACCCATTATGCTAGGGTTTAGGGTTTAGGGTTTAGGGTTTAGGGTTTAGGGTTTAGGGTTTAGGGTTTAGGGTTTAGGGTTTAGGGTTTAGGGTTTAGGGTTTAGGGTTTAGGGTTTAGGGTTTAGGGTTTAGGGTTTGCGCGTGGTCTCTCAACACGTCAGGCTAAGCCATGGCGAAACCACATGGGCATTCCCAAAATCGGGGTACCCCTTATATACACCAAATAGATGAGACTCCCCTTAAAGGACCCCCAAAAAGGGTACCCCTATTTTCGGACACCTCATATACATGAGCTGCTTTTTTTGCACCACCGAACTAGAGAATTTCACCCGGACAAGGTCTCCGCTGCCCTCTTCCGAACCCTAGATCCTAAACCCGGGTGTAGGGTTTAACAGGATTTAGGGTTTAGGGTTTCGGGCTCGGGGTTGCAAAACCCGTAATCAACCCTTAATCACGAATCGCGGCATTTTCGTCAGTCAGGCTTCAGCACGCAGAAGGAGATCTTCAGCTCGCTTGTGATGCTCATGAGAGCGCCTGAAAGCCAACACGGGGTTCAGGGTTCTTCAGGTTTAGGGTTTAGGGTTTAGGGTTTAGGGTTTAGGGTTTAGGGTTTAGGGTTTAGGGTTTAGGGTCTCGAGGCTTTAGGGCTTCGAGCTGCGGGTGCCTAGAATCTAGGGTTTAAGGCTTGTGATTGAGGGTTTCTGGGGTCTAGCGGCCTAGCGTTTGGGGTTCAGGGTTTGGGGTGTGGTTTAGCGTTTAGGGTTTAGGGTTTGGGGTTTGGGGTTTAGGGTTTAGGGTTTAGGGTTTGGGGTTTAGCGGTTTTTGGGGTGGGGGTTTTCGGGATGAGGGTTAGGGGACGGAATGGCGCAAGCTTACATGGGAGGCCCAAACCCCAACCAGCCTTTGCCCCAAAGCTCTGCTACTTTGCTTTAAGGAGTTTAGGGACCAGTCCTTGTTCGGGTTTCGTTTCGGGCATAGGCTTTACGGGGTTCATGAATCATGATCCTTAAAGCATCTCCATGTGGTAGCATTTTCCTTAATTAGTAGTTCAGGGTACGTAGCAGAATCTCTATTAGGTAGCATTTTCCTCTATAGTAGTTCAGGGTACGCAGCATGTACGGCCCACGCGCCATCTTGACATTTGAAAGGGCTTTTTGCGCTACGGCAGAAATCCTGAGGTGCACGAACTGAAGCCCAGCACACAAAGCCCACCTCAAGCCTAAACCCCTGACAATAAGATATCAGGGCACGCGCTTCCGGGCGATTTCTTAAACTCTACAAGAAGCACCCCCAACCACCTTACTTACCCCTAAACCCTAAACAATAAACCCGAAAAAGGTCCTTTTAGGAAGGGCCTTGCGACTACATGGGTTCAGCTCTCCACTGCGGTCGTGTTGAGGGCGCTACAATAGAAGGGGTCCGACATTCATGAGCGATCCGCGTCTGGCTTTGTTATGACATGCGCATCTCTGGGCAAGCGCCTGCGTTGTCGAACTCGCGGCAGTAGTTCGGCGCAGAGAACACTGTGACCACCTGTCGGCCGGCGAAGAACTCGTAGCCGTCCTGGCTGAAGGATTTGCTTGCTGGTCGTTGGTAACCACTCGCCCTAAACGCAAAACCCTGACAACCCTAACAACCCTAATAACCCTAATAATCCTAATAACCCTAATAACCCTAGCAACCTAATAACCCTAATAACCCAAATAACGCTCTATTAACCCTAATAACCCTAATCACCCTAATAACCCTAAACCGTTGCGAAATCTATCCGGGGAATCCTAAGCTACCTGATTCCCGGAATCCCAGAGAAGAACCCGGTGGGTTTAGGGGCAGGGTGCTTCAGACCTGGATTCGCAAGATCTTAGTGCGGTCAAATACCATCTAGTCCATTGATCCATCAAGGATATCGTTAGTAGGATGGCCCTGAAAACCCTTTGTAAAATATTGCTGAATATGAACCTCTTAAACCTAATAAGGGGGGAAATTTCAAAATGTCCCGAGGGACTACCGAGATTAGTGAGTCCGTTGTACCCAGTACCAATACATCAGCGGTCGTGATCCCAAAGCGAGAAACCACCTTCTGAGAGCTCTCCGGCGAATTGCCCGCATTTGAAACCTCAACCTCAAACTGCCTGAAGGGCAATCTCTGAGAACTTCCTTGAATAGAGGGGGGGGGAACTATGTGCCATTTTTCAGTGTGGTTCTCGGGCTTTGTAAATGTATGGTTTGCGTTGTTAGAGTTCAGAGGTTTGTGCATCAGGGTCCTCGCTGTTCAGGGTTTAGGGTTTAGGGTTTGGGCCACGTCCTCGACTACCTGGTGAGCTCGCGCGATGAGATCCTCCAGAAGAAGACTCCCGTGTTACACCCACCCGCAAGGATTCTTGATTTCCCCTTGGCAGGATTAAAACCAGCAGCAACAAACCAAAAGCCCTACAAATTCCTTCAAGTGCCTATAAACCCTATGATTACACTCTCAAAGCCCCTACACTAGAAGCCCTGCAACACCCATAGGCTGACCCGAAACCCCAAACCCTAGTTTTAAAGGCCGTAGCACCGCCGAAAGGGCCCAGCAGGCGAACCCCGAAACACATGCCCATCGTTCCACCGGGTTTAGGGTTTGAGGCTTAGGGTTAGGGCCTGTAAAACTCCAACCCTGAGCCCTGTACCCGTTTTTTAGGGGGTTCAGGATGGAGGGCCCTAAGTCTGAATATTCGTGCCGAACGCAAGGTCACCCGCTCCCTCGCGTATCCAAACCTCACAGATTCCTAGGGAGGGGGGCCACCACAAACCCTAAAACCTGAACCCTAAATGCGTTCAGGGGTTTTGGGTGTAGGTGGCGGCAGATCCAGCATTCTTGTTCCACCTTGTTTCTGACCCTAAACCCTAAACCCTAAACCCTAAACCCTAAACCCCAAACCCCCAGAAGCAAAATACCTCAAATGCATCCCGCGCTGACCAAGTTGTGCTTCCGGAGGAAGGTCTTCACCACTTGGGGACCTGACAAAGGGATGCAGGCACCTGAACACCCCTAAACCCTAAACCCTAAACCCTAAACCCTAAACCCTAAACCCTAAACCCTAAACCCGAAACCCCACCTCAATCAAATGGCCTGGTGCTTGTGCTGCTTGTCCTTATTCCTGGTCCCCGACAACGGCGCCCCTATCTTGGGAAAACCCCAGATCATTTACAAATAAAACCCACCCATGTGGTCACCCAATTAAGCTAACTAATCCCTAAGTTGCTTCGCAAGAACCCCCTAAACCCTCAAACCTGAGAACCCAGCAAAAAAACCCAAAACCCAAAACCTCGGTCCCCGTGCCCTGGCAAGGCTGTGGGGAAGCTGACACGCTCTGGAGCTGCAGTAAAGGCTTCGGCTTTAGGGTTTAGAGTTTCAGGGGTTCTTGGCTTTAGGGGCGGCTTTAGGGTGTTAGAGGGTTTTGGGGTCTAGGGGTTGCTCTGGGGCTCATGGTAAGTACTTGGTCATTGACCCACAGTAGGTGCTTCCCCTAAACCTTAAAGCCCTCGAAATGGGGTGTTGAGGTGAAGGCTGGGCGTTGTGTTGCCGCGGTTTCAGGTTTAGATGGTCTCAACCGCCTAAACAGTCTGCATGCCAAGCCCGGCGCCAAAGGTGAAGGAGACCCCCCGGTCGTTGTCACCCCAGCTCTCAATGTCCGCATTGGGATCCGACCTTGAAGGAGGTTTCGGGTTTCGGGTCGGGGTTTGGGGCTTGCAGCCTGGTGTGGGGTTTCAAGCAGCTTTTGACCGGTTTTTGTGCGAGTTGTTTTTTTCGCTTCTCGCCGCAAACATATGCAAATTTCACGCCAATTTCAAGCTGGAACGTGTTGGGTACCTGGGGGCTCCCCAACACCAACCAATACACGAAAAATTCGGTGCTTTGGTCCTAAAGGGTCGCGTTGGGGTATTTTGGAGCCTTTGGGGCCTGCTGTACGGAGCCATTTGGTGGCTTTTTCGTGCCTTTTGGGGCCTGTTGATGGCGGAAGGGAACGTGAAGACATGCTTTATACTAGGTCTTGAGTGTAGGGCTTGAGGTTTCGGGTTGAGGGTTTGAGGTTCTGGGCTTTGTTAGTTTGGAGTTGAGGGTTTAGGAGTCCGACCTTTGAAAGGTGTTTTGGGGTTTTGGGGGCTTTGGGGGGAGAGGGGGTAAGGGTCCAGGGTTTAGGGTCTACCCGAACCCTAAACCCTAAACCCTAAACCCTAAACCCTAAACCCTAAACCCTAAACCCTAAACCCTAAACCCTAAACCCTAAACCCTAAACCCCTAAACCCTAAACCCTAAACCCTAAACCCTAAACCCTAAACCCTAAACCCTAAACCCTAAACCCTAAACCCTAAACCCTAAACCCAAACCCTAAACCCTAAACCCTACTTGGATCTCGGAGCCGAGCCATAGCAAGTCCACCAGGAGCCCGGTGTCACCAACTTCAACCTGGCCATGCCACTCAGGCGTATGGTAGGTTTTGCTAAGGTTTTGAGAGGGTTTAGGGTTTAGGGTTTAGGGTTTAGGGTTTAGGGATTAGGGATTAGGGGTTAGGGTTTAGGGCCAAGTTTAGGGTTTGGGGGGGGGGGGGGGGGGGCTGAGGGAATAAAGTGCGGCCCAACACGTGCCCTTTTTCATGTGCTCGTTTCAAGGACCCTGAAACACTGACGCCGACCATCTAGCAAGGCGACAGCAAAGCTGCTCAAGCTTCAAAACTGACCCTGACGACTTGAGCCACAAGCTCAGGGTTTCGGGTTTAGGGCTGCCGGTCTGTCAGATAGGAGTCAGCTGCTTGTGTGTTTCGGGATGGTTTAGAGATTTGGCGACAGAAAGCGGCCAGCTGAAACATGGCAAGAAGACCGGTCGCTGGATGTCGTGGATCCTCAGTGAACTGCCCCCGATCAGGAAAGGCTTGTCGTTGTCAGACTAGCACGGATGTGATGGTTTCGTGGTCCGCGGGTGATGATGAGCAGTTCAGGGTGTAAGGATGTACGGCTGCGACTGAAGGTTCGAAGTTGTCAGAGCAGTCTTTATGCACACATGACGAGTGCAGAAAAACCATCGTTGAGGAGTGAACACAAGAGGAGACGAGGCGAGAATCGGATGGAATCAAGGCAAGATTCCTGAATTCCTGCGCCCTAGAACCCACAAATCGAGCCTGTCCCCAGCTCGAATTCTGGTGGAACTTGCCCGGAAAAGACCCGTGAGGAAGGTGCTACTGCAGAGTTGCCTCCCCATTGCCCTAAGGTTTATTGGCCATGGAGAATGCGTTTAGGGCCGAGGGATTAAAGTACATCAAAGACAGGTTACGAGCTTAGGGCGCCTCTTGGGGGTTGAGGGTTTGGGGCCTAAATGGTTTTGAAAATTTGCCTCGCCCCCACCCCACCCCCATACCGCCCAAACCCAATCGCATTTCCCTTTTCCCCTCCATCAACTAGGGTTTAGGGTTTAGGGTTCTCTGAAACCCAGGAAGGTTAAATTGAATATGTAAAGGGCCTACCAGGCAAACTTTAGAGGGAATGCGCCAACAAGAACATAATACACGGGCCTGTTTACATTGAATGGCTATTTTGGTTGGGTATCGTGTATTGTTCTAATGGAAGTATGTAGAGATTGCTCAGGGGTAGGCTTGCTCATGGCATGGGCCCCCGAAAAAACCACAAGCCCTTGAACTCACTCTAACATCCCAAGCCGAACCCAGAACAGCCCCGAGCATCCCCCAATCTCAACATCCCCCAAATTCCCAATATGCCAAGCCACAAGCCGAAAACCTTGAACCCTGAACCCTAAACCCTGAAACCCTAAACATCGAAAACTGAACCTTAACCCGAAAACCCTAGGACCCTAAACCCCAAAGCCCTAAGCCCTACAACCCTACAACCCTAAACCCTAAACCCTACAACCCTAAACCCTAAACCCTAAATCCTACAACCCTCAACCCTCAACCCTCAACCCACTCGAAGCCCGTCACCAGACCAAGGGGCTGCTCAAAGCTGGTCAAGTCGGGAGACCTCGGCCGCATAAGGTTTAGGGTTTAGGGTTTAGGGTTTAGGGTTTAGGGTTTAGGGTTTAGGGTTTAGGGTTTAGGGTTCAGGGTTTGGGGTTTAGGGTTTGGGGTTTAGGGTTTAGGGTTTGGGGTTTAGGGTTTAGGGTTTGGGATTCAGGGTTTGGGATTCAGGGTGGTAGCTGGCAGTGGAGAGTTGATCCCGATTTTCGATCCCCTTTTTGCTAATGAAGGGATACGGTAGAGCAAAGGCCCCTGAACCCCAACTAAGCCCGAAACCCTAAACCTGCAGTAGGAGACCCTATGTCCCAAGCTCAAGAGCACGGCCGAAAGCCAATATCCTAGACCAAAAACGTGTTCAGGGTTTAGGGCTTAACCCTAAACCCTAAACCCTAAACCCTAAACCCTAAACCCTAAACCCTAAACCCTAAACCCTAAACCCTAAACCTTCGGAACACCCAAGCTTCCAAGCCCTCCTAGGTCCCCGGGCAGGCCGCCGTGCATGCATATGATTCGCTCATGGATGAGCGCGCAAACCTCTGTAGGGAGGGTTTAGGGTTTAGGGTTTAGGGTTTAGGGTTTAGGGTTTAGGGTTTAGGGTTTAGGGGTTTAGGGTTTAGGGTTTAGGGTTTAGGGTTTAATTAGGGTTTAGGGTTTAGGGTTTAGGGTTTAGGGTTTAGGGTGACCCGAAGTTAAACCCTAAAACCTACACCCTAAACTGTTGGCGGGCTTCGGGTTTAGGGCTCAGGGTTTAAGGCACAGGGTGTTTTGTTGTAGGGTTTGGTCTAGGAGTCCAGGGCAACCTTTGATTTTCACGGCTTTGGGGCGTGGGCTTTAGTCCCTTGAAGCCCAAAGCCCTAAACCCTAAACCCCAAACCCTAAACCCTAAACCCCCAACCCCTGAACCCCTAAACCCGAAACCCTAAACCCTAAACCCAACCCAAAAGGCCAAAAACCCTCAAGCCCATCACTCCCTTCAACCCTCATCCCCTTGCACCTCGGTTTAGGCCAGTGAGCAAGCCCTAAACCCTAAGCCTTAAGCAAGCCCTAAACCCTAAACCCTAAACCCTAAACCCTAAACCCTAAACCCTAAACCCTAAACCCTAAACCCTAAACCCTAAACCCTAACCCTAAACCCTAAACCCTAAACCCGACCTTTTTGTCGTGCAGGGGGGGAAGAGGGGGGGGGAGGGGGGGGGGCCAAAGCCGAAACATAAGTGGGCGAGGCTTCATGTTTCTGTCGACGGGCTGCGCCTGAATGTGTTGGGTTGAGGGCTTAAGGTTCCTGGTGCCTGAATCCGAAACCCTAAACCCTAAACTAGGTGCATGTTTTCTGCCAGGGGGGTTAGGGTTCAGGGCATAAGGGCCCCAGAGATGATGGCCATCGCAGCAGCAAAGTTTGAGCTTGAGGGATGTTGAGGGCTTTCGCCGTTTATGGCACGTGCCCTGAATTTGCTTGTTCGCCTCTTTGCCAGGTTCGAGACCCAAACCCCAACAAAAATGACAGTCTGAGTCGGCAGCGGGCATGTACTGAAAGCTGTCCTGGCCGAGCGCTGGGTTTAGGGTTTAGGGTTTGGGTTTAGGGTTTAGGGTTTAGGGTTTAGGGTTTAGGGTTTGGGGTTTGGGGTTTAGGGTTCAGGGTTTAGGGTTCAGGGTTTAGGTTTCAGGGCTTCAGGGCTTTGAGGGTTTTGGCGGCTTCGGTTCACGGCTTTCGGGCTTTGGGAGCCCCGAGTGCCTGCACCCTAAGCCCTAAGCCCTGAGCCCTAAGCCCTAAACCCTAAACCCTAAACCCTAAACCCTAAACCCTAAACCCTAAACCCTAGACTCTAAAGACGAAGATCTCCTGAACTCCTGAAGCCCTCAGCCTCGAAGCCCTAAGGCCAGAAAGATAAGGCCCAAAGCCTCCCCAACACGCTAGCGATGTATAACCCTAAACCCTAAACCCTAAACCCTAAACCCTAAACCCTAAACCCTCAAAGTCGAGGGATGGCCTGCCCCACTGGGTCCTAGTTATCGAGCCAGATGGCTCCTATGTTAGCACCCCAAACCCGAGACTCGAAATTCTGGGTTTCTTAGGGCTTAGGTTTCTAAAAAAAACGTGTCAAGTTGCAAGGCTGACGGCTTGCTCTAGAAGAGAAGCATGAAAAAGCGAATATAGGGGCCTTGATCTTTAGAAAAGTTGCGCTTCGTTATCTACATTTTTTGAGGGTAATTGTAGTACACGTATATAAGGATTATGTGGGCTTACGGTTAATAATCATGTTAATATGTGTGTTCGCTACAAAGGGGTAGGGATGAGGCAGGCGTCACATGGCTCTCTGCCCCTTCAAGCGGCGCCAGCGGTTCCCCGAAAGTTTTCCAGAGCTTCGGGTTGTACCGCCTCTTGCATTCGTCGAAGAATCCTTGGCGCGGGCGCGCGGGGAAGTAGCCCTAAACCCCAAACCCCAAACCCGAAAGTGAGACGAAACGCTGTTTGAGTCCAACGCCCCTTAAACCTTAGATGATCAGCTCTCTTTCCTAAACGCTAACCCCTAAAAAACCCCACCCCGAAACCTTAGGTGATCGGCTCTGCTTCGACCCACCCTAAACCCTAAACCCGAAACCCCAAACCCTAACCCTGAACCCTAAACCCTAAGCCCTAAGCCCTAAGCCCTAAACCCTAAACCCTAAACCCTAGCCCTAAACCCTAAACCCCAAACCCTAAAGGCACCGCGCTGCGCCATTGCCGCTGAGCCACCGTAGATTCTGTTGATGGAGGCCTCAGGCTCCAAAACCAACACTTCTAACCCTAGAAACCCTTTACTGGAACGCTATTTAGGGTTTAGGGTTTAGGGTTTAGGGTTTAGGGTTTAGGGTTTAGGGTTCAGGGGTTTAGGGGTTTAGGGGTTTAGGGTTTAGGGGTTTAGGGGTTTAGGGTTTAGGGTTTAGGGTTTAGGGTTTAGATTAGGGTAACCTTGGGATGTTCCCCTGATACTAACAGCCCTTAGTAGGGATTATAGTACCCCCCCCCCCCCCTCTCCCTATTTGAATCCCGATTAAGGACTGCTAGTGTAAGGGGGAACATCCCCAACTAAACCCTATAAAGCTCGGGACCTGTGAAACAAGCTCTGGGGATCTCAAGGGTACTTCTTCTTTCCTAGCGTCTACAAACAACTTAAAGTTTAGGGTTTTGGGTTTAGGGTTCAGGGTTTAGGGTCTTGGGTTTCGGGTTCAGGGCAAGCCAAGACCTGACCCTATCGGTTGGTGACGTTGCATGGCGCCCAGGCGCCGGCGGGGTGAAGCCCAAGCCCTAGAAAACCCCGAAGCGCAACGCATATCCCTGCACCTGTACTATTGCGCGACACACCCCCCCCCCCCCGCATTCAGTCCCTATATGGCCCTCTGAGCCCTGGAACTACACGAAACTGGCATAAACTGCCCAGTAAAACCCCAAACGCCCCCAGAAAGCACCCCAAAAAATAAAGCAAACCCTAAAAAACGCAAAGCAAACCCGGCAAACCCTAAACAGCCCTTACTGAAGCCCTAGGGTTTAGGGGTTTAGGGTTGAGGGGTTTAGGGTTTAGAGGTTTCGAGGTTTAGAGGTTCAGGGGTTTTGGGTTTAGGGGTTCAGGGGTTGGGGCTCCTGGTGTGAGGGGAGGGTAGCCTGGAAACTATTGGAAACCCTTACGCCCGAACCCGGAGCCCGTCTTATCATAGCCCTAAACTCTAAACCCTAAACCCTACATCCTAAGCCCTAAACCCTAAACCCTAAGCCCTAAGCCCTAAACCCTAAACCCTGACTTGGCTCCTGGACTTGCGTGTCTCTGTTTGACAGCCAGGCCACGCATTCGTGATTGCCCCGCAGCAAGAAGAAGTTCTCTGGGTTCTGCGCCTGCGGCCAGAGACTTTGTAGTTTCCTTGGGGGTAGGGGTGTTGGGTGGGGGAGGGGGGTATAGGGGTTGAGGGGTTCAGGGTTTACAGCAGGGCTTAGGCTTTCCGCTGTTGTTTTTTCAAGCCTTCCGGCTTTCGGATTCAAAAAGCTGTGGCCGAAGGATGCTTCTACTTCCCGACAAGAATTGAGGGTCGGCTAAGATAGCTGAGAACATCCCGAGCAGCTCAGGGCTTAGGGTTTGGGACTCACGGGGGTTGCAGGTGGTCTGTTCTCCACAAGTCTGGATGAACCATTTACAATCTACAAGAATTTGTTTGGATCGTGGGCTTAGGTACGTTTAGGTCTTGTACCAGTAGGGCCAGCAGGGTTTAGGACTTTAGGAGGTACCCTGCCTCACTCGCAGCTTAAAAATCTACGGCATTCACACTAGGACCCTACTTAGCCCCATGTGGCCCACACACTCCAGGAGGTTCATAGCAAAGAAAGTGCAGGCATGAATGCTTTTCCTACTGCATGTTGGTCGCTTGCCTGCAACCGTCCTAGAGATGATGTGGCGCAGCGAGCCCCTGAAGCCGTATACCAGTAAGCCACCTAAGCCCCAAACCCCAAACCCCAAACCCTAGGCCCTAAGCCTGTATTCGTGTCCCATCTGTCAAACGGCGTCCTTGTAGGCGTAGAGCAGCCCAATACACTCGATGGAGTTTTTGCCCCTGCCGCTGGTAAGCAGAGTTCGGGGTTTGGGTTGGGCGGGGGGGGGGGTGAGGGACTGCCTGGTAAAATTGTGGCTGTGTTCTACACTTCAAATGGAACAGCAGGACGGCAGGACGACGAGCTTGTTTCAGAACTCCAATGCGTTGAGAATCTGATGTGCAAATCACCAACAATCCCCTCCCAGATGAAGCTTTTAGGGCTTGAGGCTAAATATTGGGTGGGAGCCTGTGCCCTTTGTGCAGGGGCTGGCATACGAGGAGTGGCCAGACTCTCTGCCATCGACGCACGCGCCATGCGCGACATGCCGCCACCCCGCCCCCCCCCACCCCCCCCTCCTCCCCCACACAACCTGAGGTGGTGGCACCATATGAGCATGAGACCTTCTGTCACTGTGCGGAAAGATGGCCCAAACCAAACCATCCAAACCCTGAACCCAAACCAGAGCCGCTCGGCCTGTCGACATAGTCACCAAGGAAGAGGTAGTTTCCTTATGACGCAGAGGTGCTTCTATGTTGGGTTTAGGGGCCCAAAACAAAGCCCTAGGCCCTGAGCCCTAAACCCTCAACCCTCTCGTGGGGGTATAGAGTCTACGGGTTTTGTTTGGGGTTGGGGAATCCAGGCAGCAGTTGGGAATAGGAGCTTTGGCTTATTTGCGTAATATCGGGACATTGGTCTTCTTTGGGTGTCAGGGTTCTAGGGTTGAGGGTTCAAGGCTTCAGGGTTATAGGGGTTAAGGGTTTAGGGTTTAGGGTTTAGGGTTTAGGGTTAGGGGTTTAGGGAGTAAGTCGATTAAGTGTCTCAGGGCGGAACTCATGGTTCTTCTCGCGCGGCTCTATTCGAGCAGTCAGAGCTCCGGTGTGACTTTCTTTAGGGGGTAGGGTTTAGGGTTTAGGGTTTAGGGTTTAGGGTTTAGGGTTTAGGGTTTAGGGTTTAGGGTTTAGGGTTTAGGGTTTAGGGTTTAGGGATTAGTTGTTTCGACCTCACCCTCAACCCCCGAACCCTACACTATAGGCCCTTCAGCCAAGGTAGCGACGAACCCCAGGGCCAGGACCCGGGCGCTCGGAGGGCGAGCCACCGTACTCCAGCAAGCGCAGCCTCAGGACTCGGGTTTTACAGGGTTGAGGGTTTAGGGTTTAGGTCTCGGGTGTATTGTGTAGTAGGGTGTAGGGTGTTAGTGCCTGGTTGGGCCCCATCCCCAAAGCAACCGACCACACAAATCCACAAAGGCTGACACCTCCACAAGCTTTACAACCCACAACCCCAAACGGGGCCTCGAACGCTTAAAGCGTTTGGAGTTTAGGGTTTAGGGCTCAACCCCCTTCCTCAAAAATGCTCAACATCGGAATTACACCCCTTAAAACCCTAAAACCCTAAAACCCTAAAACCCTAAAACCCTAAAACCCTAAAACCCTAAAACCCTAAAACCCTAAAACCCTAAAACCCTAAAACCCTAAAACCCTAAAACCCTAAAACCCTAAAACCCTAAAACCCTAAAACCCTAAAACCCTAAAACCCTAAAACCCTAAAACCCTAAAACCCTAAAACCCTAAAACCCTAAAGCCCGCAACCACCCACCGGGGCCACTGCAGGTCGAAGAACTGGCCATGCACATCTCCGATGACCTGGCTCCAGGTCTGAGCCATATACCCTGCAGCCTCATATGGCCCCCAACAAGGTAGCAAAGTCTCCCTAAACCCTAAACCCTAAACCCTAAACCCTAAACCCTAAAGCCTAAACCCTAAACCCTAAACCTCTAACCCCTAAACCCTAAAGCCTAAACCCTAAACGCCCTAAACCCTAAACCCAACAACGCCCTCCGAAGGGCCAGAAAGCTCGCGAGCGTGAGCCCTTAACCGTAAGCGCGGCCCTACTCGGTTATCCCCCCCCCCCCCGCGACCTCTACTTTAAACCCAGAATCCCGGACTTTTTGTGACATGTGTGGGGAACCGATATGTGCGAGCAGTCATAGAGAAAGCCCTAAGGTGGAGGGCACCCAACATGCCGGTGCTGCCTTCATCGGGGCATCTAACTCCAACAGCATGGGCTGCTCTGCGAACAGCTTGCGCACCTCGCGATCTCCGTGAGGGCTCAGGTCTGGGAAACCCAAAAACCCAAAAAAACCCTAAAACCCTATGCCCTAAGCCGCGGATGATATCTTGGCCAGTCCTTCGGGTCGGAGTAAGAGCATAACACACAGACTGTTGGGTTTAGGAGTTGAATCGACGAACGCACACAGGAGAGGGATGCTCTCGCTTCTTTTCTAGATATCACCCTATCGCTCGCCCGCATAGCCTAGTGATCCCACCCCAACCACCTAGGGTTTAAATTTAGGGTTTAGGGTTTAGTGTTTAGGGTTTAGGGTTTAGGTTTTAGGGTTTAGGGACCCATTTGTTCTTAACGACTCGCCTTGCCAACCGCACGCCGATCCGATACCGGAATAACAAGTCATTGGGAAACTAGCGTGAAGGAGCCCCGACGACCACTGGATAACATAGGGGGTAGCAGAGGTTTAGGGTTTAGGGTTTAGGGTTTAGGGTTTAGGGTTTAGGGTTTAGGGTTTTAGGGATGTTAGGGATTTTAGGGATTTTAGGGTCTCCAGGAGGCCTCTTGCCAGAGCCTGGGGCGGTATGGGGTTTGGTGAAGCCCGTCGTTCCCTTCTATAGGGGCCCGAACAACCTAAAAAAAACACAAGGATTCTGCAAACTTTATGTTGCTTTTGTGCCCCCTGCTTGTGGGGCTTCCGACTTCTCTCAAGTGTCAGTCAAGCCCTCAAAAGCCTCAAAGCCTTACAGCTGACCCTGCCCCACACCTCCCCCCCCCCCGGCCCCCCTATCCGAAAGGGACCGAGGATATGGCCGTTTCGATCAGCAAGCACAGCTGTTCTTCGTCGAGTATAGCCTCCCTGGCATTGCCGCGGATGGAATTTATTCAGGGCTTGGGACGTCAAAACTCTAAGCCGGGGTTTAGGGTTTAGGGTTTAGGGTTTAGGGTTTAGGGTTTAGGGCGGTCTCGGGGACAGCCACGCATCGACAATGCCGAGGGCAGGAACCTCTTAGTGGGTGGTGCCAGAACCGCTTCGGGAGCAAAATAATCAGGTGATGCACACGTGTATTTCCCACAGTAGGTTTGGGGGGTTTGCAGAAGCGCCCTCTCTGCCCTCCAGCAGGCTGTTGAAGCCTTGGGGTTTGGGGTTTAGTTTACAGGTCGTCAGCGTTGAGGGGCACGGTTGAAGCAACATTCAAGAAACCTTGTTTCCAAAAGAGTCCACAGCCCTGGCTCCCAAAACCCGTGACGATACACCCTAGACCCTGAACCCTAAAAGTCTCAACCCGAAGCCCCGAAACCCTAACACCTCAAGGAGGGTTTAGGGTTTAGGGTTTAGGGCTTAGGGCTTAGGGCTTAGGGCTTGGGGTTTATGGGCAACCAAGAAATACCCAGATCCACTGAGCTACTGGCCCCCCTCGTACGGGCGACACGCCCTTGAGTTCCAGGAGCTTGGCGATCCTACGGCCGAAGAGCTGTGCGCAAGGGGTCATATAGGGTTTACGGCTTAGGGTTTAGGGTTTCGGGTTAAAGGGTTTAGGGCTTAGGGGTTAGGGGCAGTGAGAAATTAGCCAACTGGTGGGAACCTCTTGCTGAAGGGGGCTTCTAAGGAAAGCTGTGGGCATCATGGCCAACAGCAAGCCTTGCAACACTACACTCTCAGCCCTTAACCCCCGAAACCCCAAAACCAACACCGAAAACGCCAAAACTAACCCTAAACCCTAAACCCTAAACCCTAAACCCTAAACCCTAAATCCTAAACCCTAAACCCTAAAACCTAAACCGGCTGGCTCCAGTCTGAGTCCCCGGACAGCGCGTCCAAGCGCAACTCCCCTCGCCGCCGCTTGGGTTCTCTTTCGGTCCTCGAGATGCGCTTTAGGGTTTAGGGTTTAGGGTTTAGGGTTTAGGGTTTAGAGTTTAGGGTTTAGGGTTTAGGGTTTAGTGTTTAGGGTTTAGGGTTTAGGGTTTAGGGTTTAGAGTTTAGGGCTTAGGGTTTAGGGTTTAGGTTTTAAGGTTTAGGCTGTAGGGTTTGGGGTTTGGGGCTTGGGGCTTGGGGTTTAGGGTTTGGGGTTTGGGGTTTGGGGTTTGGGGTTTAGGATGTAGGGTTAGGGTTTGGGGTTTGGGGCTTGGGGTTTGGAGTTTGGGGTTTGGGGTTTAGTGTCCTTCGGGGGTTCTGGGGATTCTGGGGTTTAGAATTCGGGCTTTAGAGTTCCACAACACAAAGCTTAGGTTCCAAACCCTTCACCCTGCACTCTTTAAACCCTAAACCCTAAACCCTAAACCCTAAACCCTAAACCCTAAACCCTAAACCCTAAACCCTGAGGGGGTCCAGGGTTCAGAGCTGAAGACTTCTGATGGGATTGTGGTTTCGGAGTTTAGGGTTTAGGGTTTAGGGTTTAGGGTCGGAGTTTGAACATTGCGCTGGGTTTCTTTGATTGGTAAGGGAGATACGCGCAGGTAGCTGAGAGCCACTTGGCCAGCAGCAAGCAAAAAGAAAGCCAGCGCATGGAGGCGGGATGATAAACCCTAAGCCTGAAGACCAAATTTAGGGTTTAGGGTTTAGGGTTTAGGGTTTAGGGTTTAGGGTTTAGGGCCGAAAATGCAGGACTGTGGGTTTACGGTTCAGGTATGCTTGTCGACTAACTTAGCGACAAGCGTGGTAGGTTCTCCAAATTGTGCTTCTTCTCTACATTTTGTGTTCTGACTCTGCCGATGAGAACATATGGACTGCTATACTCATAATTAGGGTGTAGACCCTAAACCCTAAACCCTAAACCCTAAACCCTAACCTACAAACACCGCAACTCCCGAGCACGAGGCGCAGTAGGAGCTGCCTTTTTCGCCTTCCGGCAGCCGTGAGGGCTGAAATCCCAAAATGACCTTTAGGGTTTAGGGTTTAGGGTTTAGGGTTTAGGGTTTAGGGCTTACAGGGTTGTAAGGCTTAGGGTTTAGGGTGTAAGTAAGCTCTAAAGTGCCAGCAAGCCAGGGACGAAGAAAGAAAAGTGTTCCGTTGTTGCTTCCGGGGAGGATAAGGTGCCCCAACACCTAAGACGGGAAATGGAGAACCCTAAACCCTAAACCCTAAACCCTAAACCCTAAACCCTAAGCCCTAAACCCTAAACCCTACACCCCCTAAACCCTAAACCCTAAACCCTAAACCCTAAACCCTAAACCCTAAACCCTAAACCCTAAACCCTAAACCCTAAACCCTAAACCCTAAACCCTAAACCCGAATTCCTAACTCATCTGCGGTTGACGGTTTAGGGTTTGGGGGTATAGGGTTCAGGGTTTAAATCTTCGGGCTTGGGGTTGAGGGTTCGGGGGGCTGGTGTCAGGCCTGGGAGGGCCCTGAACCCTAAACCCTAAACCCTAAACCCTAAACCCTAAACCCTAAACCCTAAACCCTAAACCCTAAACCCTAGACCCTAAACCCTAAAAAAAACCCGAAGCCCCAACCCTAAACCCACCCTTCCTCCTTACCCCAAAGCACTAAGCGCTTTGCAACAGTGCGCGGCCCCGCGCCTGCGCCCGCACCTCGCCCACGATGACGGCGTCATCGCCGGGGACCGATTTGGAGCCTACGGCTCAAGGGTTTCGGGGGTAGGGTTTAGGGTTTAGGGCTCATTCTGCATTACCCTCATGGGTTTCGGGGGTAGGGTTTAGGGTTTAGGGCTCATTCTGCATTACCCTCATCCCCATCAAAACCCGATCGGCCGTTCTTGTTTGGGCCTGTAGGCCATTGGGTTGGTTTGGCGGTGGCATTCTCTAAATTATGGGCGCCCTTTTTGGGTACCCCTATAGATAAGGCGCAGGTATCATATCAGGATCCTGACAATGGAATCGTACTTTACTGGAAAGGGTTTAGGGTTTCGGGTTCAAAACCCTAAACCCTAAACCCTAAACCCCTACACCCGAAACCCTAAACCCTAAACCACAGCAGTGAGCTTCGCGAGCCGCGGCCTTGTGCCGCCGACATTCCGTGGCAGACTATACGAGCCCTACAACGAGATTCGTGCGCCAAAGACTGATTTTGCTGAGTTGCGGGCCCTCGTCATGTGAGGCTTTCGTACCACAAACCCTAAACCCTAACTAAACCCTAAACCCTAAACCCTAAACCCTAAACCCTAAACCCTAAACCCTGAACCCTGAACCCTGAACCCTAAACCCTAAACCCTTAGCTGCAAGACGGAGCAAAGATTTCGAGGTGGTAGGACGCTGTTCCACAGAGTGCTGCTGCTGAGTCATGCATGTTGGTTCAGGGCATCGGTGCGCCATACATAACACAGATCCTTCGATCCAAAGAAGGCGCGCAGAATGCAGCAGAATCGTCTGGGAGCCTCTCGAAGATTGTGGGGGATGTCGGGTTGTTTTTCACCACTGCTCAACGGAACAACGCCAGGCCCAGCATGTTCAAAGGGGTTGGCCACTGGGCCACCAAGATTCATGCTGAGAAAGATCAAAAAGACTGAGTCCGACACCATGAACTCTTTCAAAGGGCCCAGACACCCCTGCGAAGCACACCCTAAACCCTAAACCCTAAACCCTGAACCCTAAACCCTAAACCCTAAACCCCAAACCCTCAATTCTAAACCCCCGGCAACTGCTTGCCAACAGTGTTTTCACACAGCTTGGCGGAAAAATCCGAGCGCAGCCCACCCGCGGCAGGCAACCTCTATACCTTGAAGGTGGGATTTTCGACTGGGCTTGGGGGGGCCTAACTGTGGGTGTAGGGTTATAGGGTTATAGGGTTATAGGGTTATAGGGTTATAGGGTTAGAGGGTTAGAGGGTTAGAGGGTTAGAGGGTTAGAGGGTTAGAGGGTTATAGGGTTATAGGGTTATAGGGTTATAGGTTTGGGGTTTAGGGTTTCAGGTTGGGATTGCAGTGTCAAGGGTGTGCCAGCAAGGGGGTTCGGGGTCTCGGAAGGCCTTGTTGGTGGCTGCAACCAGCATTACGGACAACACTGAAGCTCCCCAGCCTTAAGGTTTAGGGTTTAGGGTATGGGGTTTAGGGTTTAGAGTTTAGG